AAACCTGACACCATGACACATCAGAGGTGCAGTTAAACATTTCATTCTGCAAAATGCTGGTCAAAAATCAATGTTTGTGTAAGAATGAACTTATCCAGGTGTAGAAGTTTATACAGTGTAAATGTAACTACTACAACAGTCAGCCTTGTTGTTCCTGGGAGATGACAGAACTGGTACCTCTTTCATGTCTGTATGATAAATAAGAAACTGCAGATGGGAGCTGGTTTGGTGTGTATGTAAAGATTTGTGTATTTGTGTTTTTCCCCTAAGGAATCATATTCACGTGGCTCTAACACCATCATTCCAGCTGATCAGCCATGTCACTGTGATGTATATAGCTTTCCAATACCAGATACAAAACATCTCATGTGGTAGTGGTAGATGTTTCCCTTCACAACATTTCTTTTTTCAGAATGCAAGGAGTTTGTTTTGGAAGACTTAAAAGCTTTTCTGACAGAAAGGCTTCCTTCTGCCAGAGAGGGCTGTCATCCTGCGGAGGGAAAGATTGTTCACAAATGGAAAACATTCAAGACAGTTGCCAAACTTTCCAGGATTGGACGTCCCAACAAATTCAACTCAAGGTCACATTGTGCAGTGCTCAGAGAAACTGCAGTTAACTCAAGAGCTCCATCTCTGACTCTGTTAGCATGCTAAATGTGAAAGTTCATGAGAGTGCAGTTAGAAACGCACTCAACAAGTACTGCACGACTTGTCTGGATGGAAGCCTTTTTTCTCTTTAACAAGAACATGACAGCACGGATTAGGTTTGCAAAGTTGCACCTGAATAAAACAAAAAAGACTTCTGGAACAATGTCCTTAGGATACATGAGACCAGAGTGGAACTGTTTGGGTATATCACACAGCACTGCATTTAGAGAAAACCCGAACACAGCATATCAGCAGAAACACCTCATACCAGCTGTTAAGCATGGTTGTAGAATGGTGATGAATAGTGCTGGCTGTGCAACCACAGGGGATTATTAAACTATTCTGATTCTGCTTTTTATTCCAGAAACACGTGTGAGAGCTAATTTTAATATCCAGCCATTAACTATCTGTAACTCTCTGCAATCCACTAACCAACTTTCATACCCTCTTCAAACCAGCCTTTTCCACTGTGGATATTTTAACAGCACGGGGAAAAGCACCATATCTACATCTATGACACCAAGCTAATACATTTCTGCATTTTGATGAATACATCCTCTCCTTGAAGGAGCAAAGATGCTCATTTCCATCATATGCAATCTATATTTCATAAGACTAAAAGTCTCACTTGGCCTCGAGGTCAGTGAATTGCAAACATAGCACAGGAGCCGCTGGTTCATCACGTACATCACCACCTCCGGTCAGGTGTACTTAAACACGGGGCGCCTTTCTGCCAAAATAAACATCCAGTTTCATCAGCATGGTAACTATAGCTCTGCTCAGCTGCAGGCCCCTCAGTAGTCAACGATACAGTGTCACTGGTGAGAATATGAGGGGCGTGTCTCTAAAATGGAAGACATCCTGGTTATAGCAGGAGCAGATAGAGTGGTGACATGTGTGACTCAGTCCCGATTAATAAATCAAGTTTGCCTCGGGATTAGGAGGAGTGGGGTATGAAAGACAAACCATTCCAATCATTTTGCACTTCTTCAGCAACATTAAACGCTGCCTCCTCCCCCCTTAGACATGTAATGTTGTTTTTGAAAGTTATATAATGAACTTTATGTTGAATGATGTCCAACTGGGAAATCTAATAATACCAAGTGTAGCAGTGTGAACACGCACATCAGCTCTTTCCAATTACCCGTGAGTCTGCAGCATTAAAACGGATTTAACTTTTAACGTGTATGTTTAAAAATAAGCACATGCTTGCAGTTATTCATCCAGCTGTCTTCTAATTAAATTAGTTTGTTGAGGTAGAAAAAAAAATGTGTATGATGAATAAGACAGGGTGGTTGTGGGTGAGGGGTGGAGGAGTGGAGTGTGGGTGAAAAGGTCAGCAGATGGTTATTTATTTGTCGCATCCTGACGCTATGGTGATGAAGGTTAGTATGTTAGGCATTCGCACATGATTACGGGGACAGCGTCCATGATCCAAGTCACATACTTTATCTTTTTAGTACTGTTTCTTACAATATGCATGCGAATGGGACTTTGTATTGGTGGTGCAGAATTTGGTGGATTAGAAGGGACAAAAAGCATTTTAGCTTTTGTGCTGCAGAAGGGGAACGATGCAGGCGGCCATCCTGATACTTTTGGTGGACTGTATCTGATCTGCTGCAGCATTTAGGGCACATTAAAGCTTTTGGCATATCATTAGTGGATATGCATTTCTTCCAAGGATGTTCTGCCCCCTTGTGACAGGAAATCCAATGCTTCAAGAGCCTCTCTATACATGTGCAGTGTTATTTTCACTCTCACTGCACACTTGAAATAAATACAAAAAGTGTCGCTTGGGCCTGCTGAGATGAGTGTCAAAAGGCGTTTACAGGTAACTGCTTCGCTTTACATTGCAGGAATTAATAGGGACGTGTGGAGGTGCAGTGGAACGAGGTACGCATAAATGAATCAGCATCTGTGGATTTGGGCCAACTGAACTGTTAAAACAGATGGATATTGCATATAAGAGATTAGTAGGAACAGAAGGTTTTGGCTATGAAAACTGTGTTTTGAGTAGGATCCAAATCCAGTCATAAATTACAAATGTGTAGTAGTCAGACACACAGGATGTAGTCTTAATGTGAGACTGCACTTTTACAGCATGCAAAATGGCGATACTATTTTATTTTTTCTTGCATGACCCACAATCTGTCATAAAATTGACATGAAGTATATAGCTGAGAAGAAGTCAGTAGAGATATTGACTTAATTCTGGCTTTTGGCCACAGCTCTAATTCTCATGACAAAATTAGATTTAAGACATTATTTGATTTCGAATGGTGCCTATAACAGCAAATCACCGTGGGATACTGAGCAAGGAAATACGGGACACTTTGGACACTTCAGTAGGGACTCCATTTTTAAATTAGATCAGCATCACTTTAAGATTCAGTGCAGCTTTCTTTTATTACCATCTTAGGACTGACTTGTTTTGATTGGATGTAAAAACCAACCTGTTATTATGCAACCAGTTACTCGTGCTCAAGGTGTACTCATGAAAATGTGGCCTTGTCAGCACTCATGAGGTCATACACTGTAGGTTAGGTGTGTCTGGGAAACAAAATAAAACATGGGGGGGTGCCTTTAATCTGATTGCTCTTTGATTACTCAACCCAAGTACTGGTAAATATCAGACTTGCTCATTGGACCTCTGAAGTGTCAAGGTGTGTGACTGTTTTTAATTCTAACATGAGCTAAATGCAACTTTTTTTCCGCCTCGTGTTATTTTTAACAGTTACAAGTGTGCGGGATGATTAGTATATGGCACAGTAGTAAATAGCACACCATCTGAGTGATGAAAACAGTGAGAAGGAATACACAGGTGAGAAAGCAACCGCACAAAGTCTAAATTTAGTGTGTGAACAATGAAGTTTACTTAAGTGTAATACGACGAATGATGATTAATGATTAATCACATAGTTGACGGGCGAGGAGGGACTTTTTGATGAACTCATCAATACAAAGTTTTTGTTTATGAGTTTACTCAAGATAATTACTTGCAGGCTTTGAAAAAAAAAATCACTTTTCATGTAAAAAAATAAAATAAAATACATCAGATTTCCCAGTGTGGTCGCCAAGGGGCGACACAGTACCCCACATTTTCTCCCTTTCTCTCGGCGTTGTCCTGTACGAGTCCCGGTGTGGGTGACGTCACCAAGGGGACCGGCGATCAAGCTGAGTGCGCTCAACGAAATCAAACCGGAAGTTAGGGAATTTGTCTTCCAAATAAAAGCATTATGCATCTTAGCTCACACAGAGGAGCAAAATGTCCTTGAAAATTGTAGGCGCAAAAATGAATAACAGCAGATTGAATAAAAATTAAAATAGACAATAAAATATTTTCAAATTCATAATCTTTATTTGCATCCTTCTTGCATTTCTTTTCACATTTAGCTGTTTCATGTTCAATTAATAAATAATTTGGGGGTTGACATGATATATTCATAAGTCGTCGTAAAAAGTCAAAGACAGGTGGAAAGGTGAACATGCAAACAAGGAAGGTTTACAATAAAAAATAAATGGACAGGTTTTTATTAGTACATTTCACAACATGTCTCATTCACACACATACAAGCGCTTTTTTCTCTCCATCTAATTGTTTTTTATCTAGCATTCACACTCTGATGAACATCAGGAGAAATTCAGGGTTCAGTATCTTATCCAAGAACACTCTGGCGCTACTCTACCTCCTAAGCCACAGCCACCTTGGGAGGGTAGTGAGACCTGCTGTTATGTGTGGTTTGGAAATGTTAAAATTTTCATTGTGACTCACCAGGTAAGTCCATGGACAAGTTTGGAAAGAGAGTTAGAGAGGCAATGCTGAGAGAGTTTGGACATGTACAGAGGAGGGATAGGTGGTAGATTGAACAAAGGCTACTGTATATGAAAAGAGGAAGATGACAGAGAAGATTTGTGGATGTAGTGAAGGTGGTTGTGTGACAGAGGAGGTTGTCAGTGATAGGGTGAGATGGAGTCAGAGCATCTGATGTGGTGACGCTCTAAAAGGAGCAGCCGGCTGAAGGAGAAGAACCAGAATTCCTCTGGAAACAAAGTTTTGTGAAGCCTCCAGACACCTTTAAGGGCAGATATCCTGACGAATCATCTGAATCAACTTATTAAATAAAACTATTGGTTACTTTGAGATAAAAAAAAAAAGCCATAAACCGAAACATAAGACATATATGATTTAAAAACTTAAAAGAAAACTTTAAAAATCTAAAGATATTTAATAAAAGCCCATTTTTCCCACCTGGAAGTTACATTTCTGTCACCATCTCCTCCGGACTTCAAATTCAGTCTCGTTTGACTGCAACGTCTCTACGCCCAGAGGTATTTTATTTTGAAAGCAAAGAGCGGAAGTTGGCAGCCCCGTAGACTGAGCTTGAAACGAGTGCTTGAGGTGGAGGCAGTCAGCCTGCGACGGAAAAAAACAAGCTATAATAGGTCGGACACTTCATGCTCGGTTCTTGTTTTAAAAGAAAGAAAAATAGAGAAACCGGTGGTTATGTGGATGTAGGAGGTTATTTTCGCGGCTTTCGCGCGGGCTCCCTAACTTACAATTTGATTGGCGGGTTCTGGTTCGGGGTTTGTTGTTGAGCGTGTCGCTGTTTGCCCATTCTCACTGGAGTGAACACTAAGGTAAGCCTTGTAACCGCAAATGAACTGTGTTAAGTTGGTGCAGTTGGACTGGTTGCTTTGGCCATTTCAGTGCTGCTTAAACGACCGTTTTCAGTTAAATTTGACCGGGAAAAATGTAATTACAAGCTGAGGTAAAAGTTGGGGTAAAGAAAAACGGCAGCTTGCTCGTGCCACTTTGTAGGTTTGACGCTGGGTCTTTGTCCACTCAGAGGTGGTTTCACTGGACGCTGTGTGCTACAGCCTCGGTTTTTCCTTGCGTTTGAGTGGTTGCTGTTAACGAGCCACACAAACAGTGATATTTTTCTTTTTTCATTTTTAGAGTCAGAACAAATGGTTTCCAATTTATCAACTTTACCGTTTAGTATTTTTTTTGCGGAGCCACTTCTTAAAGGCCTGTAAGCGCAAGCTACTCAAGCAATCCTCAGGCAGGTCCTTTAGACTGTTTTCTCAGGCATCTGCTCTTGTTTGAGTAATTTCTCGCATTTATATCTCTGATTAATAAAACCCCACACACAATTTCCTGTCATTCTTTTTACATTTACAATGAGCTGCGTTTGTCAGCAGGCCTATTTAAAAACGCAGTGGCTTACACAATGAACCACATTTGCCAAAACACCATAGACTGGCGACTGGTGCCACATGCCGAGATTGTCAATGTTGAATGTCTAGTGGCTTTTCATGGTAACTACACCGTGCGTCCTCCTCATCAATAGCAGCAGAGAATAGCATGCATTGTCTGTCTTGCTGTGGCAGTTATTGTCCATAAGTAAAGTCCCCTTTATTCTAGAAGACGGGGAGAAATTTGCACTTGCATGCAAATGCAAGGACTGAGGTTATAAGAAAGCACAGTTTCTCTTTTTTCTTTTTTTCAACATGCAGGTACACTTGCGTGGCACACCTATTCTGCCGACACACCCTCTGACAAGAGCACCATGTTAGCTCTGAGTCTAGGACAAGGTTCACTCAGAAATGAACAGGTATGCCGTGTAGGCATGTGCAATAATGGAGCGATAAAGTGTGAATTGCATAAACTTCCATTACATCACAAAGCAAAGAGAGAACGCGAGTTTCAGTGCTTTGCATTTCCAGCATATCAGAAACATGACTAAAACTAGAAAGACTGCTAATGATACCGAGAAGTGCAGTAACTGCATGTACTCACTGGAAAGGTGAGCTTTTCGGGCTGACTTCACACTCAAGTAACATTTAGTATGAGTGTTGTAGATTATGTGGTGGTTCAGTTAAACCCTAAATTTGACCTGAAACTATTAGTTATGGGAATTACGGTGATCGGGTAATTTGGGTCTGATTCCACCTCACAGTGCATATTTGCTGCATTTCTTGATCCTCTATGATTGTAAGCTGAATATTATTGTATTTTTGATTGGCAGACAAAAAAAAGCGGTATTAAAATAACTCACGCCATGCCTCTTTTTTTTTTTCAATTTTACGACTTATAAACAGTTATAACTGAAAAAGTAATGTAGAAGTGAGTCAGATAATTGTTGCAACCCTGCTGTATCCTGTTGCATGCATGCTTTTAAATGAGGTTTCGATCTAAGGCATTTTTTATGTTTTATAGGTACATTTTGAAGGAATCATTGATTACCAAGTGTGTGCACATGTTAAGCAATTCTGTCATTTTAATGTAAAGTTGATTAAGTCAATTTTGCAGATGCTGCTTTTTTCCCTCTTTAAAGTCTTTGTAAACCAATTATTTGGGACTTTTTTTTCCTTTTTCTTTTTTTGGCTGGTTGCTCCAATCGCATCATTTAAAGCAGTCTTTCATTACCTCTCCTTTCAAGAATTTATAATTGACATGTTTCATTATAAGCTGGACTTGTAGAAGAGCCCTTTTCAAAATGACACACATTAAATTGGCTCCATGTGCTGCAGAGACTGAAACCAATGGTGCGTTCAGGCAGCCATCATCAATTAATAAAGTCAAACATTTTAAGAGTCAATCTGTGGGAACTTCCCCTATAATAGTCTGCCAAGTGTTAAATGCTCGAGATGAACTGAAGCATTTTTTTTTAACCAGTGTGTGATTTAGTATTGGGGTATTAAAACATGCATGGTTTTTCCTACCATAATGTGTCTAAGTGAATGAAGCAACCTGGACAACAGGTAATGATTAACCACATATCCAATCTGATAGAAAGAACAAACACTGGTGTTAATATATGACTTTGTTTGTTTCCACCTTGCATGAGCTTTGTCACTTGAAGTTGATATGAAGGCAGCTCGTAGCAAGTGTTGAACAAAATATTCTGGACGTCAGATGAGGCGGTATTGTATAAACGTTTGGTGCCGATTTAGAGAAAATAATATAATATGAATATTTCTTAGTATATGTGATGTTGATATATATACAAGCATGTAGATCGCCCTTGCATTTAGTGACAAATTGCTATTTTTCGTCTGCATGTCTTAACTTCCACTATCAAACTTGGAACATGTGCACGTTTGTCATTTGAGCTGCATTTTTTATCTTCTTACATACGAGATACTAATCCAAATCCTCTTTCTTCTGTGTATTTGATTGCACTTTTATGAGCTGTGACTAATTACTCTGCTTGTCTTTCTTGTATATGCCTAATGGGCCTTTAAAAAAAAAATCCCTTGCATACTGCCGCGCTGTGCCCACACAATATTTTGTTCCTCTGTTGTTTTGAGTGGAAGCCAGTGGAAAATGACTTTGTTCCGAGCAAGTGATGCTTTGCTTCTTTCTCATTTTGCTGATTTATGTGATTTGTACTTGAAGTGGTCTTTTTTTCTCTCTCTTTTTTTTAAGAGAAGGCGCTGAGTCGATCATATGCGATCTTAAATTGTCTGTAATGTAGCAATGAATCATTTATAGTCTAATAACATAAGTGGTAGTTAAATGATTTAAGATTTCGAGTGCAGGCGAACTATATCGTTTATGCCTGCTGTGAGAAAAGGGTTCTAAAGCCTATTGCATCATCCCCTTTTATTTTATGACCTATATTACATGGACTGTCTCTTGGAGAGTGAGGGTAATTTTATTTACACTTTCTTCACATTGTATGGAACGTTGTGAAGAAAGTGTAAGACACAGGTTTCTGTGTAGACCTCCCAAACAAAATAATAGAAATTTAGAGCAGAGCGATATGACCAAAAATATTTATCACGAAATAAATTTGAAAATTTGCTATAACGATATAACTTTCCTTGCTGACAGTTTAACCAAAAGGAATTTCCAGTGGAAATTGGCCGACATGTCCTCACCATAACCATGCATAATATCCACAAAACTTAAAAAGGGGTTATACACACACAATACGGTAATATTATATTGAAGCACAGTATGTGTCACTCCATGAGGCTCCTGACTACGATAGCGGTAATGCTCCGACAATCCATCAAGCGGTACGGCTTCGTAGCTTAGCAAAGTAGTACTAAAACATTTGACAGATTTTTGAGCACCGTGTACGACATAAAATCGTTTCGAGGTCAGTAAACACAACCAGAATTCATACATAAGGCACACGGGATTATAAGGGGTACTGTCGATTTTCAGAAAAATCTAAGGATTGAATTTAAGTGTGCCGTATTTTCCAAAAAACACTGTAATAACGACGGCCCGCTAGCATGCGCTACCAAAAATAGTGCTTTGTTGTGTATCTGACGGACGAAAGCTAAACCAGTTCCACACCACTGAAGTTGCAGCATTTTTACAAACCAATTCTGGTTTATCTGTTTCATTCAACGATCCGCTTTCCCCCTTCTCATTCTCCGTCACCGCCATACTTTTCCCGCCATCTGTGTATGAAAACAAAGGCACTGCACATGCGCGTTTTACCCATATTCTATCGCGATATTTCATTTTCTTATCATTGCCCAACATTATACCAGTATTACCGTGAACGGTATGATATGGCCCAGCCCTAATAGAAATTTATTTCCAGCAATATTTTCAGGAGCCTACAGCAGGGGGAAACATCCATGGAAAAGGATTTTTTTTTTTTTTTTCATGTGGAAAGCATAACATTTCGTGTCCCTCAGGGAAAAGGCTTACTAGGAGTGAAGAAGGAATTAATAAATGCTGTGAGAAGACACTGAGCAATGCTTCTGAAGAGAATCATGATGGAAGCAAGATGAAGGCCATCTCATTGTCATTGTAATCATCTGTAATCTGGGGAATAGTTGTCCGAATAGGTGTGTGTGTGTGTGTGTGTGTGTGTGTGTGTGTGTGTGTGTGTGTGTGTGTGTGTGTGTGTGTGTGGTCTTGTTGGTGAAATATAATCTTTCTTCATTTAGGTTTTGTTTGTTTTTAAAGTTGGTGTTATTTCCTTCAAACCACGTCACTGCAGCCCATCAATGTTTTTTTTTTTTTTTTTCTTCTCTTCTGTTTTTTCAATGTTATTATCAACATGGCTCTGGGATGGAAGTGTCAGCCGGTCACTTTAGCACAATGTGGTTTATTTGAACAAATATTGAAAAATGGAAAGTTAAGTTATGCACAAATATTGTTAGTGTATAAAGTGATCATCATAAGAATCATAAGAATTTCCCCTTCCTTATCTTAGTGTGCTACATCTGGTCCGAGGTGTTGCTTATTCTGTGCAATGATTTTGCATGAAAAACCCTTTCCCATAGACTTTTATAGAACCATAAATCTCTTTGTAACTGGAGCTATCACCATCTGGTGTCTTCCAGATAGATGCAGATTGTTAGGGACTTCCGCATTGGCTTTATTTCACCAACATGGAAGCTGTGTCTGTTTTATACTGTTTATGGCTGTGGTAGGCCCAGCAAACAATAGAGATCCTGCACTTGACGGTTAATGTTGCATGCAGTTGTGGGTGAACCATGGGAGAGATCCTAAGCAATTCAGAGATAAAGGCAACTGTTAAAGTTCCTTTAACAGGTTCAACTTTATAAACTTTGACACAAAATACATCTACACCAAGTAAAGTGTATATGTATCTTACTGATTAAAACTCTTCTTTAGTAATCTTAGCTGCACCTGGAAAAAA